CCTTCACCTCTAGACTTACTTATATTCCCACCCATGGCTTTTCTTTTTTGCTTCTAGAGTTATTCTTCTTCCTGTCCAAGGCTAATTCCTTCTTCAGTGTTCTGGGTCCCAACCCTCTGTTTACACAGGGACATCATTTCTCTTTGCACCTTGAATCTCCCTCTTTCACATACACACATATTTAGGTCTCTTTAATCTTCAAAAAAAAAAGAGAGAAATAACTCCTTCCTTCTCTCCAGAACCAAATTTAGATTATATAAGATAAAATTTACATTCTTTCCTCAACCCCCTAAAATTTGTCACTGCCTGCCCCCACTATGCCACTGAAACTGCTCTTCCCATGGTCACTAATAACATACGAATTGCTAAGTCATGTGGACACTGCACAGTTTATTTACTTTTGTCCTCTGTGTAACTCTGCTGGCTACCCCTTCCTACTTGTTTCTTAAATTATATAAAATTTTCCATTTCATATTTTGCTGTAATTTTGTTCATATTTTTTAACCCAAGCAAAAAAATTAACCTGGAAGCATTTTTGGTCTTATAATTTCATTAGAATGAGTTGTTTCCTGGCAATTTCTTTTGGTTTAGCACTGTCTAAAACAGCTTTAAAACTATGGATGTGTTTTTTATTTTTAATTTCCCATTTTATTCTAGACATTCTTCTGATAAAGTGTCTAAACTAGAAGGTCAAGTGGAATCTTATAAAAAGAAGCTAGAAGATCTTGGTGATTTGAGGCGGCAGGTTAAACTCTTAGAAGAGAAGAATACTATGTATATGCAGAACACTGTCAGTCTAGAGGAAGAGTTAAGAAAGGCCAATGCAGCTCGAAGTCAACTTGAGACATATAAGAGACAGGTAAAAGAATAGATACAAAGTTTCTTATGATGGTTTCAAGCAACCTCTCCATTGTAACACATAGCTTATCAAAAATCTGACTTGCTTTGATGGTATTCTGTTTTTTACCTTTTCTTTATTATATTTATCTTATATTTAAAGGACTTTTTTTTGGTTTGTTTTCGGAGGTTTTTTTGTTGACTGGCTGGTATGAGGATTTGAACCCTCAACCTTGCTGCTATCAACACCATGCTCTAATCAACTGAGCTAACCAGTCAGCCCTATTTAAAGAACCTTAAACATAGTTCTTATCCAAAGATTATTAATTGGTTTCTTATAGCACATCCTTTTGTTGTTTTTGTTTTTCTATTTTTCAATTTATTATGTAATTATTATGTAATACT